TATAAAAGATGTAAATTTCATTATATTTAACCTCAACGGGACTCAAATTCAGTTCGCTATATCCGTAAATTCGTTATATCAGAGTTCGTTATAACCTTAAAATTTTACAAAGATTTGTTAAGAATTTTGCTGGGGACCCAGAAAAACTTTGTTATATCCGTGAATTCGCTATATCCGTGTTCGTACTAAATGAGTTTTACTGTAGTGTGTTTCATTGTACCAGTCAAGGTTTATGCTGCTATTTCAGCTAAAGGATGACCAGGTTTACGTTCTTTGGAGCAGGTTAAAGTTTTTGGAGCAGGTTCATTCTGAAGACAAAAAAATTGATATATCTAAGCATGTACACTATCAGGCCTACTTTTGTTGCTGGATCTGACCTGCATTTCCTGATGAGTGACCAGCTGGTTAAGCTAACTTTTTAGAGAAAATTCATTTTAAAATTTTGATTATATAGCCCTTGTTGACCAAACTTGCAAGTTGCATGCATAGCACAGTGCTTAAAAGCATCTGCTTGAGAGCTGCAGAGTAAGGAGCTAATCCTTATGTCACAGTTCTAAATTCACTGCAGAGCATGGAGACCGGTCCTGTGGATAAGATTGTATACATCAAGATCCCGTGTTGCAATAGATGTTGGCACAAAAAGATACCTTATAATGCTCAATGGCCCTAAGTGCTGAGTAAAAGAATAAATTTACAACCCTCCATCAGCAAGTGGTGGCATCTCCATTTAAGTGAAAAATTCTTGAGAGAGATGTTCAACAAGAAATGAACCAAACATGCACGGATGATACATTTATACTTCCAAGGATGCATATTACTAGACTTGCTTTAGATGCTAGATTTGCATGACTACACATTTCAGGTGTGGTTAAAATTTTAGAGCAGATCTATCGCCAAGAAACTATAGTGCTATCTGAATACAACTTGCTTTAAGGATTTCCATCCCTAATAAGAGCAAATTCTCTACCCTTAAATGTCCGTCAAGTACATAATACTCTGGTATTGAATTAAAGCATTTTATAGTAGAAAAAGATTGCCCGCAAGAATTTTTTTTTTAAATCATTAACTAAGCAGTAGTTAATTAATTAACAAAGACTGCATTAAAGTCTTTGGGGAATAGTGTTTTTATTAAATAAAAATTCACATAAATAAAATATGAATATCAATAAATACTGTGGTGGAAAGATGCATTGAAATACTAGAAAAAGAATGAAAATCAAAAACAATTTTTTTACCGTATAAATTTTTTTAAATTGATTTTTTATTAATTAAAATAAAGGGAGATAACTCTTACCAAAATTCAAGGTCATAAATTAGAACACATCCCACTCTTACAGGCTAATAGTAATGGGAATTATGTTTATAAATATATTGAGTATTCAACACCTTATATCATTTATGTATTCAATTTCATTGAATCTTTTGCTATTTGGGATTGAATACCTTTAACCCTGTTACATGTATGCTATTAAAGCATTGCTATATTCAGCTCTTCTTGTAAAGAACTGCGAACGATAGTATTGTTCTCCCGCCTACCTACAAGTCAATTTTTAAAAGTTAACATATTCGATTAATTTTTAATATTTTTTATAGATAATATGGATTTTCATAAAACAGTACTTATTTGGGAAAACAAAGAGAGATAACTTTAAAATTTTGGTAAAACTTGTGTTTTTCACTATAGAAATCAACGGAAAACGGAAAATATTTTTAAAACACCTTTCCCCCCCGTGTCACAAAAATTCCTTTTTACAGGTAATTTGGAATGTTATTTCGCAAATTCATACCAAAGCTTTTTGTGTGACACGGGGGGGAACATATGTTTATTGACAAAAAACGATAAAAATGCTTATTTTCCACCAATTTCAAAGCGATTTACATCTGAAACATTATATTTTATTGATATATTTATGTTTTATTTATTTGTCTAAAACATTAGAAAAGATATAAGGAACATTTTATCATTTCCAAGATTATTTCAAAATATGGTGATGCTTGAAACTCCGATTTTAGTGGAAAATATCGTCTACCCCCCTTTTTTCAAGAGCTGGAATTATGGAAAATTTACTGTTTAGCGCTGGTATTAAGATAATTATTCAATTACCATTGAACTGTTTTTTGTATTAAACAAAGATTTTATGGCCAGATTGCCATTTATATTGAATTAAATGGTTCCAAAATGTAGGCGGGAATTGAGAGTTAGCGTGCGTATTTCTTTGGATTATTTTTTTATTTTGCTCAGTGAATTTAAAAACTGCAGTTTAAAATTTTAAAAATCAAAGACTTCATGTCAGAAAATCATTTTTTTTCTTTCAATTTTGCTTAATTGTATCATAAAGATATTATCTAGATGTCAATAAGATCAACAAAATGATATTTTCACAATTTTTATTTGATTTTAAAAACTTTTTAAATGATATTTCACTGTCTTAATAATTGTGTGATCAATAACAATGGTATACATTAAAAGACAGGCAGTATAGAACTTCCATACGAATAACAGCTAAAGACATACAGTGCTGGGGTTGTACTCGCATACACCTGCAGACATGTTAATTCAATAACAAAGCACTACGCTTCTTTCACATGTAAACAACATAGCAAACATTTATAAAATGCTTAACATAATTTACTCAACAATGAAATAAATTAAACTCTTAACAAGGTAATAGAAATATCTTGTAGTTCATTTAAAAGCAAACTGAGTATGGTGCATTAATTAATAAACCCCACCAATGCTATAGCTCCATTAAGTTTAAAAAATATCACAGGCACAGAAAATAAAGAAACTGAAACTGAAGATTACAAGAATTAATCTTTGTTATTTTAAGATTTAAATATTAAACTGCATGATAAGAATGTGGCTAAAGTAATGAGAAATAGAACCCCATGTTCCCATAAAACAAATCAATATACTCATATAAAACACCTTGTAAAAACAAAGGTACATAAATCTTTCAACATCTCTCTCTCTTCCTGCACAGAGTCCAAGGAGAATGTAAAATTCTGTATATATATATATAAAAGTTAGCCTCACATACACCTAGATCACACAGTGTTAAGTAAAAGTACTGCATACTACATGTACTATGCAATACTTTGAATCAAACATTTGTGCAGACAAATCATAAAGAATATAAATGCCTTAGAAAGACTATAAAACCTTATAATCCAGAAAATTTCTGAGTTATTTGATTTTTTTTCCATGCTTTTTTCCCTTTCTTATTTTAATGTCGTGACAATAGATAAGCACTGAATTTTTTTCAAAAATCTTTTTTAGGCTTCAAATCAAAGTCTTCTTTTATCTTACATTTTCTCAGCCTAAGCTGCTACTTTTTCTGGTTCTTTAGGGGAGGGCCAGTTCACGGGGGACTTCGCTGCAGACAGTTGTTGTAATTCGGGTTCTGGAGATCCTTTGGGGGTTGCAGATTTGACCCTAGAAGCTGGTCTTGGCCAGTCGAGGGGAGTCTTAGCTCCTGTCGCAGGTCTGCCAGTGGGGCTGATGGGGGCCAATTTGGGGCTGGCTCGTGTGATTGGCTCAGGGTTTTTGGCCCCTGACCTCTGAGAACCATTAACTGCTACATTGGAGGCCGTAATTGGGTCTAATGGAGCTAGAGGAGAGGAGGGAGGGATGGGATCCAGTGGTTTGGGAGGAACTCCCTCCAACCCTTTATCGGCATCCATGTCAGCTTTTACTGGCAGTGGGTCAGGTACCTGTTTAGAGTCATCATATTTTAAGTGTGCACAATAAAAATTTGTTTTTGTCGACATATTAAAATTAAATTCAAACAATTAATATACAGTTGAACTTTGGTATCTCAAACACCGATATCTCAAATACCATGGATATTTCAAAGTGATGTGAAAGTCCCAACCACATATTCTTTAAGTATTTTACCCTCGATATCTCAAATCCTCTGATATCTCAAAAAAAAAATTCTCAGCCCGATCAGGTTCAGGATAATGAAGTTTGACTGTATAGCAAAATAATTTTAAGTAAAATAAATATGAAAAAAAATTGAACTCACATGTGGCCTCTTTAGTTTTCCACTGAGGATTATGTCCCCATCTGTCTTGCATCTCTCTAACCTCACTTGTGAATGAAAGGCTCTGGCAGTGCTATTCATCATTTTATTGCCTGAAAAATTGTAATCTTCATTATGACATGTTTAATTGAATAAACAATAATAGCAAATGCCAAATACTGCAAAAGTCATATATAAACCATGGAATTAAAATGAGAACAGTTTTATTACCTGGTATATGTAGAGGCATGTCCCATGTACCAACAAAGTTTCCCCATGGAGATTCCCTTGACCTTTTAACCCCTTGAAGGAGATGACCTCTGTTGCTAGCTACAATTTGTGTAAATCCATCAAATGCTCTTGGCCTCTGAAAATTAAAATGAAGAGAATAACATTCTACTATATTTGTTGTAAATGATTTAACATGTTACAATAAAAATGTTGATTTATAATTTTATTTTGAAATATAAGTAATTGAAAAAATTAAATAATATGAAATTAACATTACAGTAACTTTTAAATAAATTTACTTCTCGAAACTGTTTAGGAACCTCCCAGTTCTGTAAACGCTTGGGGTGAAATGCCTGATCATACTGAAATATTGAAAAATAAAATAAATACATCGATGTGAATCTGAAATATTGGAAATAAAAAAATAAATATCTCATAAGCACTGATAAGCATATGAATCTTTCATTTATCAAATATGTCATTAAAAGAAGTTTGCATGGCTTCAGAGCATCAGAGCAGTATTTTAGGTTTGAAATTAGAATTTGTAATATGATAATATGCAAAATTTAAATTGCATTTACTGGTACATGCAGGCATGAAGCACGTACAGAGCAGAAATTGGTTGCATCATGGGAATTTCAAATTGCTCAATATTCATAGTGAATATTTCATAATGGGTCTAAATTACATTGTACTTGCACAAAATATACATAATTGTTAATTTATTGAATCTATTCATGTATGTAGGCCTATTTTATCGATAAATATGAAAATATACCATTGAACAATAAGCCACAGTGCTCATCTGAGCTCTTTTGCTAGGAAGACGCAAAAATCTTCTCAGTATTGAAAAGTTTAGTACCGGTATATTACACATTTTTTCAATTGATTGAATCTACACTTTTTGATGATGCTTTCATATGTGTTTTGCTGTTCATGTGAAAAAGATTTTCAAGGATTTCTTCTGAATTAATTTCTAAAACTCTGATTACTTATTGTGGTCCATCCTACCCCCCCCCCCCCCACCCCCACAGGAGTCTTGATTTGAGCAATCTTAAGTGAATCTACACTGGGATCATGTTTCCACAAAATTAATTTTTTCTAGACAATGGTTCTTGAGAAGAAGATTATTAGAATATGCCATAATTTTTTTTTTTTATTATTCGATATCCTAATCATCCTGTCTTTGAAGTGAGTGAAAAATTGTTTTACATTGTTAATTCAATCATATAACGTTATTGCACTCTTAAAAGCCAAAAGGTGTAGGATAATAAATTTTGACCATATTTTTATCTAATGAAAAAACAACATATACATGTATTTAATTTTCTTTTATTTGCGTGTTTTATCCATATATAGGCACTCCCCATCTTAATTGTTTAAAAAATATACACCTACTACAGGGAGTGCCTATGGTTTTATCATTCTAGCCTAGGCCTATAGACCATTTCTCAATAACTGTGGTATATCTAATCCATGCTCTTTTGCAGGGCAAAATGATATATTTCGATGAAATATGACATAAAAGTAATTGTTTAAATAACATCATTTAATTATCTATCAACAAAACTCCGCCAAACATTATTAATTTGCCCTGCAGAAGAGCAGTACCGCAGTTACCGTTAAGGGGCTAAAACATATATGCCGTAATTTTATAGTATGCATTCTCGAATGTTCTATCATTTCTTTTGATTCTTTTACTGATATACTGCTCATTGTCTTCATATCATGAAATGATGTCCGTTGCATTTATTAAACCTGTAATCAATAGAGCAACATTGCTTTTTTTAAATGTATTGCTGCTTTGATAAATCAACCGAATGTAGGCCAGATGAAGGATGAATGAATTGATTGTGTGATGATTTTCCTCAGCAGTGCAGTCGTGAACTTGGTCTCTATTTCAATGTATTGCCTACCTGATTGGCACTGAAATGTAACGACATCACGGTAGATTACAGATAAACACAGACTGATTAAATGCTGGCCTCTCTCGCTGGGCTACTTCGTCAGTGAACAAAATCCTCTTGTTCCCAGTCACACTACCATAACAAAGCTGTCAGGTTGCTAAGGATGCGAGTTCCGCAGTGAATTTGATTTTTTTTTTAAATTAGACAAATTAAAAGACTAATCTTTTTCTCAATTTGGTAAAGAAACAAATAACATACTAAACTAACCATCTGTTTCTATTTTCTATTTATTTAATGAAACCGATAGGTTGTACATTCTCTGCGTTCCACTACTCACTTCCGGTCGGAAGAGACACGAGAGGCACCAAGTTGACCAACGATCACGATGACACTTTTCCACTTTGGAAATTGTGTGGCACTAGCTTATGTGCCTTATGCAATTGTTTACAAATGTTCAGGACTGTAAGTTCATTGTTAAGCTAAACTTTATCGTTTACACTTTCAAGATATCTCAGATATCTTGCTCGAACTGGGCAGACAACCGTTGTACACTCATTCTGAATTTTCTCAGTTGTGGCGTGTTCACCGGCTACCAAAACGGTTGACATACACCTCTGACATTTGGAGCTCTGAATAAATTGAAAAGTTCTGCATATGACAGACATCATAATTTAAGCAAAATAAATGTAGAAACATAATTTTTGTGCAACACTTTTAAGAAAGTGGAAAATGTAGAAAAACGGGCATTTTAATTGTATCAAGAAAGGAGGAATTGCATTGGATTGGGGAATACCTAATTGAAGACCTACAGGTAATTGAAGACCTAGAGAAGACCTACAAAAATGTGGGATATATACAGCAAAACTGATGTGATATTCTGATTAAGCATGTCCTAAATGTGTAAAATACACAAAAAAGTTTTATGAAAATAAGTTTTAAAGTGTATTTTTTAAGCTCGGTAAGGGGAACTATTTCTTCTCTTAGACGACCTACGGCAAGAACGATAACTCTGGCTGACTTGCCTTGTAAACAACAGCACACTCATTTATATTGTGAAGCTCATAGGAAGAATATGAATATGAAAAAAAAATCCAAATGATTTTGTTGAGTTTTTCAATTAAAAATTATGATAAAGAAATAATCTGGATTATGAATTTTGATGAAGTTAAAATATAAATAATTATCATGATTATTTCATTTATCAAATTAATATTCTACTTAAGATCTATAGTTAATATTTAATTAATATTGTAATTCCTTTTAATAAGTTTTATGGGATAAAAATTAAATATTCAAGTTCAAATTATTGATATATATGCTGTGGATTTGTCTCTTTTAACCAATATCACTCTGAACTAAAGGCTTCGATCTTCACTAATGTGTTGTATACACAGGCAGCTGACAGGCTCCCTGAGGATATATTGTGTTTTGATGCAATTATCAACACACCCCACTTCCTCTAATGAATGTTAATTTGCAGTCAACAGAGCAAAGATATTAAAAAAATAATTATATTTATTACATATCTTAAAAATGATATCAAGAATAAACAAATAAAATAATTGTGGATTTATTCAGAAGATGTAACTAAAATGAATTACGTTTTGAATATTTTTTTTAATTTTCAAAATGGTCACTTTTCTTTTTTCAAAATAACACATAAATTTATATGACACCCAGGAGGAAAATTTAATAACTCATGTATATTTCCAGATAACATGCTGTATGCCAAGAAATACGTACTATAATATGAAACATTAGGTTTTATTTTATTTTATTATTATTATTTTTTTTTTTACATTTTGAGCCAAAATATATACAGTATATCAATCTTGAAGATACCCAGTATATCATTAATTAAATTGAAAGAAAATATACACTTTTTAAAATTGAATAAAATAATGAACATGCATGTTTTGAACATATTTTATTGTATAATTTATACAATGGGATTGGCTACAAGTTCTTGCAACTTAAAAAAACCTCTCCCTGTAATATATACAATAATTAAATTAGTGATTGCCAAAATAACAATTTAGGGTGTAAAGTTATACATATACATGATAAATACAAATTATTTCAAGTTAATACAAAATATTTCAAGTTAAGACACTTACTAAAGATTCAGAGTTCTTACAATATGTAGATCTATAATGATACATGTAAATGTTTACAATTATAACAGTTATTTGGAAAAAATATATATATGACAGTAATGATAATAAATAATAAACATGATCACAAGTAAAATTCTCGCATCATAAACAATCAAAGCTGTACAGATATGATTAAATGACAAAGAAACAGAAGAAAAACGGATCAAAATCTACCTGAATCACGAATGAACCTTTGGACACAGTGAAATATTTTGTTATTCACATCAACTGACAATGAATCATTTCCAAATAATAAGAGATGGGAGTTGACTATTGCCAAGTGATTATATTGTAAAATATTGTTTAAGAGGCAATTTCTTGGCCGCTCATATTTTTTACATACAAAAAAGAAATGGTATACATCTTCAATTTGTCCACATAAACAGTTAGGAGAGTCAATTATATTTCTTCGATAAAGATCATTATTAAGTATACTACTGTGCCTTAATTTTGTGTGAATTATATTTAAATAGCGTTTCCCATATGAAAAATACGAAGGTGGCTTTGAGGGATGTGAACATATTCTTGTTTTAAATTTACTAATAGAGGTTGTGTCTCTCACGTCTTTAGAAAGGGAATTCCAGGTATTAATTGCAGAGGGTACAAAAGATTTTTTAAAAGTTTCAAGTCTACATTTGGGAATAGAGTAATCTTCTGTGTTTCTTGTATTATATGTAGATTCAATTCCGCGAGTTTTTGGAAATATTTGTTTGAGATAATCGGGTACAACATTGTTGTGTACTTTAAACATAGTGGTTAATTTAGCTGTTCTTCTTCTTGTAATTAGGGGTTCCAATCCTGTCTCTGAATAGAGAATTTCTCTAGAAATAAAAAATCGGGAGACCAGTGATGGTTCTTGCTGCAGCTAGCTGGACTTTCTCTAGTTTTTCTATATCGTAAAGTGTACAGCCGTCCCAGACAACTGAGGCATATTCGAGACATGCATGTTATCACACATAAGAAATGCATGCATATTTTGAATAAAAATTATGATGCTTTGACTCGGGGGGAAAAACGGAAGATTTTAAAAGTAATTGTGTTTGTGTTCTTTTTGAAAAATTACTTCAAATTCATTTAACTGCAATTTTAAAATTTTCATTCGCTACATAAATGCAAATCTTATAAAACTTTCCCAGGTGTTATTAATAACATTAGTAGGTATTATTAATAACAAGAACACAAATCATTCTATCACAGTGAATTTTATTAATGATCAACAGTTCAAACCTGAAAAAATATTACACTATCTATTTACAAACACATAAAATACTGATTGAATATAACATAATTATATACATGTGTATGTACTTATAATGATTTTATGATTGATCATATAATAGTATTATAAATTATGTACAGTGTATATGTCTCTGCTTTGTAAAGTTTTAAAATTTTACTGATTTTAATAACTAAATATTTTTTTTAACAAAATAGAATTGTATCTGACTGACTATTTCATTTTTTTTTTCATCTTTGATGTATTTATCTAAAATATTTCCATTCATTTTTTTCCGTCCTTAAATATTATTTATTTAATTATATTTTTGTGATAATTACATTTTCTTGATATGTTTTGGTGAGCAGCTGATTTGTTATTTATGCGAGTTATCGTTCTTGCCGTAGGTCGTCTAAGAGAAGAAATAGTTCCCTTACCGAGCTTAAAAAATACACTTTAAAACTTCTTTTTATAAAACTTTTTTGTGTATTTTATACATTTAGAACATGCTAAATCAGAATATCACATCAGTTTTGCTGTATATATCCCACATTTTTGTAGGTCTTCCATATGTCTTCTCTAGGTCTTCAATTACCTGTAGGTCTTCAATTAGGCAGGCCGTTGGATTGGGCATTAAACCTCACCTGGAACCCTTACTTACTTTTTATCTTTTTTTACAGGGCAGAGTACAGTGCCTTTTGGAAATGCGTACAAGCTGGAGCAGCGTATCTTTTTACACAGCTCTGTAAAATGCTGGTATTGGCCACTTTTTTCCCATCCACAGAATTTTCTCCAGAGGGAGTAGATATCCTGGGGGTAGGTCTCCAGAATGCTTGGAGAATATTTTTGATATATAACATCAAGTTTATATAGCAAAATATAGTAAAAAAAAGAAAGTATTTAAAAAAGAGGTTAAATAAAGGAAAACGGTAATTTAAAATTGTTTTGAAAGAAAAAAAATTACTATATATGTTGATCTTTTTTGTCAGGAATTTTTGAAGTGTACTGTAGACTTGGCCGATCTGGTAGGCATTCATCTGGTGATGACGAGGATTGCAGGAAAGGGACAGTTAAAGTTCATGGTGGCCGGGTTAGGCTGGGCTACAGCTGAGCTACTTATGACAAGGTGACACCTCGCACATGTTTTATTAACTATCTCATTTACACTTAACTAAGAGTATTGTTTAGAATTTTTTTTATGATCAATCAGGGATGTATAAATTTAAAGACTGTAAAAATTTCAAGTATTAAAGTTCTGTATACTGCATTGTCTCAAACCACGATTAAGATTCCGCATATAGCTCTCTCCTACCCGTGGCTGCTTGAACACAAAAAGTGTCGTAATCTTTAATATTTACGCCTCTCTATTTTGACATCATATCCAGTCAATCACAAGTTTTGTTTCCATTGCAATTGAAATCAACAATTTACTTCAGCAGTATTTCATACACTGTGATTGGGTATTGAAAGGACGCATCAAAGTTAATTATCTGACTATGCTTTACTCGCATAGGTCAATATTTTAATGAGCTATGAAATATTCTCTTCTCATGCAACCACGGCCATAATGGGAGAGGATCGTACATTTTGACCATGGTTTGCGACGTTTTGTTAACTGTAGGTTATAAAATTTTTGCGAGTTATGTGTTTGGCATTTTTAAGTGAGACATTTTCACAATTTGCTGGGTTCTGTTATATATATTCTAATCTACTAATAATATATGCAAGAATAAAATTTTTGTGAGCAGGCTGTAGATAAAGTTCACACTAATAAAAAGTGATTTACAGTATATACTTTGAAAACAGTAGACATACATTTTTCCACATGACATTGATTTATGCTATAAACACTGTCACAATTTTTCCATGGATATTGTCACAACATACTGGTACTTTAAGTGCATTTTAAGACATATACATGCAGTGACAATCTGAAAAAAAAGTCTGCTTGATTTTCAGTCTGCAGATTGAATAACAATGAATAATTATCTTGGATAAAAGTGCATTTACAATACTTAAACTGCTTATTTTCCTAAAAAATTTTTATTAAAAATTTTCAGTCGGTTATGAACAATACACTATTACAAAAAGGGTTATATGAGTTTTGTTATAAAATTAAGTTGAATGTTTGTGATTTTGTTAGTCCTCTCATAAAGCTTTGACAAAAACCTATCTTTATATCTTCAACTAATGAATAAATACTTTTACACAGTTCTTTTTCATACAGTACTTTATAAATAATGTCACTTAAATGCATACCCATAAATGCACTTGACTTTTACATGCAGTTTATCAGTCATCATCAAGATAAATTAAAAAATGTATGATTCAGATATTTTGTACAATAAATGTAATAGTATTAAATTGTTCTAAAGAAAAAAATCTTATTTTAGATTCATCCCACTCTGGGTTGGTGCAAGAGGTGTAGAATTTGACTGGAAGTACATTCAAATGTGCTTTGAATCTAACATTAATTTGGTGAGTAATGCTTGCTTACAAAATAATCTAGCCAATAGCATTTCACATTCTTTGTTATCCTGTATAAGGTACTTACAACATTCTTCTGAAGTATAATAACAAGGGGTATTGCCAGAGAAAAAAAAATTAGCTGAAGATGAGTTAGAGTTATCCTTCTTGAAATACAAAATTGTCACATCAGACAATGAAGTTATATATTTAATCAGTAATGTGTGAACTGTGATACAAGTATTTGTATATCATTGCATCATACTGAAGAACAAAATTGCCTTATTTGAACATTTTCTAATTGCATTTATTTGACTTTGTTAATTAGGTGCACCACATAACGACAGCCATGCTGGTCTGGTTACGCAGTAGAAATGATCTTCAGAAGTCGTTTATACCAGTTGTCATGACGTTACTGGCCCTTAGCTGTTATAGACCTCTCATTGTGGAGTAAGTAGTTCATTTACTGAAAGATGGTTACTTAAACGATAAAATGTTTTCTTTGGTTGTTAGCACGAGAATTAATGTCTTGGCTGTTGGTGAAAAAATACATAAACCAACTTGTGCAAATTATAATGTTATTTTTTTTCTGGGTTACTTAAAATGTAAAATCATATCAAAATGCTTCATAAGGTATTCAATGTATAATGAAGGGATTTTGAACAATTTTAAACTAGCTAAAAATACATTGCTACATAACAATGAAAGTGAAATGAGACAAATTCACATAATGATTACATATTGCACCTTAAAAGTTTGTAATAAGGGAGGAGGTGGGGTTGTTCACATATTTGTACTTTACAGTGAAGTATGTCGTATAATTCAATTGTTGTGTCTATTTTCAGGATTCTGATTCATGCATTAGGTCTAGGATCCTGGACGCTCCTCACCGCTAAAGCTCTGTTTACAACCACTGTCAGTGTAGTAGGGCTACAGATCTTCCTGGGACTCTCTGTACAGACTTCTAACAACCACTACTGAATCTCTACGATCCTCAATGTACAATGTCTGAAGGAAATGTGTGAAAGAGAAAGTCTGTTACAACTGTATAGATGGATATGTGTATTTATGTAACCATGTTGATAAAAGAGAACAATTATTGTGCAATATGCATGGTGTACATGTATTTGATTTTATAGTATGTATGATTGGTTTGTTTCTAAAACATTTGTCTTATTAAATATATGTTTAATGAGTTAATATAGTTATATCTGTTTATCAATCTTATCATGTTTATTTGAAGAAAAAGTACTAGTGTTTAAAATACCCGGTAATATGAGATGTTTTTGGTTCAATCCTCGCATGGAACTTTTTTTTTGGCCTGATGACACATACTACAGAGCTATCATCGCTACACTTACATTTTGGAATTTCAAACAACAAAGAAGCAACATATTAAAAAAAAGTCATTTACAAATTTGTATTTTTTTCTGTGACATCATAAATTTTCCTATATTTCTCAAGGGGAGATGATTTAGAGATACTGAAAATTTGGTGGCATGTTTTAAAAATCTTGTTCTCAAAAACCACTGTGCGAGGAAAGATGAAACTTATGGGGAAACATCTTTAGGGAAGTGTAGATTCAAGTTTGTTCAACTCTTGATCCCGGGGTGTAGGGCGGGGCCACAATGGCTGACAAAGTTTTACATAGAAATATATATACAGGAAAATTCTTGAAAAATCTTTTCAAGAATAAGAAAGCCATGATTGATCATATTTATATGGAATCATCCTCAGGTAATGTAGATTTAAGTTTGTTCAAATCATGACCCCTGGGGGTAGGGTGGGGCTACTATGGCCGATCAAAAATTTGCATAGAAATATATAGGAAAATTCTTTAAAATTCTTCTGATGAAGAACAGCACAGCCATGATTGGTCATATTTATACAGAAGCATCCTCAGGTAGTGTAAATTCAAGTTTGTTCAAATCATGACCCCTGGGGTAGGAAGGGGCCACAATGGCCGATAAAGTTTTACATAGAAATATATAGGAAAGCTTTTTAAAAATCTCAAGAATTGCAAAGCGATGATTGGTCATATTTATATGGAAGCATTCTCAGGCAGTGTAGATTCAAGTCTGGGTATGGCGGGGCCAAACAAAGTTTTATATAGAAATATTTAGGGAAGCACTTTTAAAAATCTTCTCAAGAACAGCATATAGCCATGATTGGTCATATTTATATGGAAACATTCTCAGGTAGTGTCGATTCTTGTTTGTTCAAATCATGACCCCTTGAGATAGGTTGCTGGAGCACTAATCCAAGTTTTACGTAAAAATATATATTCAGAAAAATTTTCTCAAGAACAGCAAGCCATGATCAGTCGTATTTATATGGAAGCATCCTCAGGTAGTGTAGTTTTAAGTTTGATCAAATCATGACCCCTTGGGGTAGGGTGGGGCCACAATAGATGAGCACAGTTTTACTTAGTATTTTTTTTTTCAAAGACAGCAAAGTCATGATTTGTCATATTTTCGTTGGGGGGGGGGGGGGGGGAGGGCACAATGTAAGTTCAAATGTAAAGGGCAGTTAAGCAACAGGCAGTCAATGTAAACATCCTTAGTTAATGTATATACAAGTTTGTTCAAATCATACCCTCTCCCCAGGCCATGTAAGGATTGGTTGGGACCACTTTTTAGTTTAAACTTTTCATATAGTAAACCGATTTCCGCTCTTTTCCTAGCCACAGTGCTCAAGTGAGCGATGTGACCCACGGGCCTCTTGTTTCTATCTTACTTCTGAGGGCAGATCTCTCTAACTACATACTGTAAAATTATCCTGTAGATAGAACACTAATAGTGTACAATTTTAAGAACTCCCTTAAAACACTATTAAGAAAATATTTCCCTCTCTATTTCAAAAGATCATAATACATTAACAGAATGTTAACATTTCAGTTGACAGTTTGATTTTTTTTTCACTTTTCAAATGCGTCCAGATTCCTGCCGAATATCAATTAATTTGAATCAAAAGCGCCCTCAGTCTTTTAAAATACTAGTACGAGGGTTGTCCCAAAATTTCCATATTTGTCCATGAATTTATTAGATAGTGTTGGTATAATCTATATACGAAGTTTCATTAATATGTGACATAGGGTTCCTACAAAACAACGCTTGTCTATGGAATTTTGGGGCAACCCTCGTATATTTCAAGAGTGCAGAGAAAAGTTTTTCCTCGAGGTTTAAAAATATTGAGACGGGCTATTTTTAGCCAGTCAGTCTGGAGAGGACAACCAATCTACATGTATTTTTGCCCCCGCTTGAAAAGTGGGGGATATTAATTTGGATCTGTCCGTCCGTCCGTCTTTCTGTCTGTCTGTAACGCTTTTGTTTCCACACGATATTTCGAGAACCCTTTGGGCTTTGGCAATGAAATTTTGCATAGCAACTCCCTATGGTCTAAAGAAGAACTCTCTTGATTTTGAGGTCAAAAGGTCAAAGGTCAAGGTCATAAATTCGCAAATTCTGTCTGTTATAACACTTTCGTTTCCGCGCGATATCTCGAGAACCCTTTGAGCTTTTGCAATGAAATTTTACTTAACTCCCTGTGGCCTAAGGAAGACCCCTATTGATTTTGAGGTCAAGAGGTCAAAGTTCAAGGTCGTAAATTTATACATTCTGTCTGTAACACTATCGTTTCCGGGCGCTATTTCAAGAAGATTTTGAGCTTTTGCAATGTAATTTTATACCAAAACTCCCTTGGACCTCTCTCATCCCTCTCAAAGTGTCCTGCCCCGTTTGTTTTATTAGTATTTATTGCATTACATGTCGCTATTTTTGGCACAGGGGCATGAGGAGAGGTATGACGTATAAAACAGGTTCTCCGCGGACTTTATATTCTTATTACATCTATTAGAACTGTTTAATAACGGCTCAATTAGACTCCATGCATTGTGTAAAATTTTGACAATATCGAACGTGAATATATACATGCATGTGACTTCATGTTTGCATATAATTTTCGACAATTGGAAGCGGTTCCGTGGCCTAGTGGTATGTGTGAGAGCTCCCGGGGTCGATTCTCGGATGTTCCTTTTTTTTTTTTCCCCGAAATACTTTTTTTTTTTTACTAAATGATAGTATTTAGCGTGTGAAATGAAAAATTTATCAGGTCTGGCTTGTACAAACTCATAAAATCATCATGACAGTGTGATAAATATTCCATAGTAAAAAGAATCTTCTATACACATAATAAAGAATAAGCAATCAAATCTTTATATCCATATTGGCATATTTTATTTGTTTCAGTATGAATATATACATTTAATAATTCATTGGAATCCGACCCCCCCCCTCCCCCGAACTGCGCATAGTTTACTTTTTCCTAAGCGGGGGACACAAATTCTCTGAATTAGCATGTTCATGATGGTCTTACTTAATAAAATATGTTGATCAAAGGTCACACCTTGTGGCCAGGACTGGTGAGATTATATTTTGACCCTTGATTGGAATAAAATGTAGTGTAGAGTACCTTGTTGCCCCCCCCCCCCCCCCCCCCCTCACACACACACACACTTTTGCGGAGCGATGCAAGGGACATTAAACCTCATTTGTCTTTCCATATGTCACAAAAACTTTAGTCATAAATTTTGAATGAGAGGAGACAGGGCTTTCTTATTTCATTACAAGGAGCACACAACGAGTGTGACCGGTCGGCATGGGATCCTCGCTCCATGGCACCTGATCCAACCTCATCTATTTTAAAGATTTGTGATTGCTTTGCTCCAAAGTATTATTATACCCCCGCTTGAAAAGCGGAAGGGTATATTGACGTCGCGCACGGTGTTGGTGTCAAAAAGTAAAAAATTACAAATGCAGCGGCATTTGGGCTATTTTCATATTTTTAAAACAATTCATTATATGAAAACTATGTAACATTCGTTGATAATCGTATACTTAGTACATTTTAATAAAAATATTGATAAAAAAATCCATTTGTCAAAGATATTGATTTGACTTTTCCGTCAATTAAGTATAAAAACACATGTAGACCGGTAACAGGAGCGTCGCACACGCAATTACAAAATGTTGATAACTTCCATAAAACAAACAATACAAACATAAAATTTGGCAGAAAAATTCAAAATATGATGTAAATGATGTAAATTTTTACAATTTGATTATCATTCAATCCATGTGCTCTGAAAGCGTTGCTCAAGAACCAAGACAGAGATGTAGACATGCGTTAACCGACGAAATATGGGATACCCATAAAAAGTCTTCGGTTTCTTAGAAAAATAATTACATCAGCTAAATCTATTTTGAAATTACATCTTAATAATCCTGTTTGCGTGTTAAGAATTATATTTCAGAATAGACTGATATTTTGGGTTGATATGTACGTTGGATTACTGGTACTAAGCCGATTTATTGTGAGGATGTTGAATAAGATGGTGTGTCACAAAGTTTGGAGGTTCAGTGTCACAAAGTTTTTAAGATCAGTAGACGGCCAATTTTGTAACACTGGGTGAAAAATTAATGTTTAAAAAAAATTAAATTCTACAAAATGTTGTCATGTTATTAAGGAAAAATTTAAATCTCTAGAGAGAATTTTAACTTGCGGTGTCTTATATTTTATTAATAATTGCTGTGTCACATATCATCCTCACAATGTCAAGGGTTTGTGATTTCTCGAACTCCACACAAACTTGTGTGGAGTTCGAGAAATCACAAACCCTTTGACATTGTGAGGAAGTGTCACACATATGTTTTTGTGTAAAAAGTGGGCCAAACTGCAAGGTCAAAAGGTCAAATTTGGGGGCACCCAAAGAAAGGTCTTGTCACAAGGAATACAAATGTGAAATATGAAAGTCATAGCTCCACTTAATCAAAAGTTATGGGCAAGGTTTAAGTTTTTGTGACGGACGGACAGACAGCTAGACAGACGAACGAGATTTAATGTCCCCTCGCGGAAACGGGGGACAAAAAACTAGAAGTACTGTGAGCAATGAGCTCACTATACGAATATAATTGCAGTGTCCAGGTTTTGCTATGGGGAACCCAAAATATGTGTCGGATAAAAAAATAAATAAAATAGGAGGTGCACAATGGCAATATGTAATAAAGATTCTGTGAATTTTTCATCAAATGCCATCCAGTGGTGTGAGAGGAGTTTGGGATAAGAGATGGGTACCCCA